ATCGATTCGTTAATAATATGATTATGGCATTTTTCTGTTTGTTGCTGTTTGTTCTGGCGCCATTCATTTACTTTAAAATGCCAGTCAGTTGACTCAAGAAATGAATATTAATTAATTACTTTGCTAACAATTATATTTTGAGCATTTAAACTTCACTTTTAGTTTCTTCGGAAGAAAAATCATTGTTCAACTAAAGTCTTATCGAATAAAATCTTTAGCTCAGAAGAGCAAAATCAGCTCACAAAGAAAATCAGTTTGTTTTCAGCTCTCAAGTTCGTTGGTTGCACAGTTCCAATTCAAATATTTTGTTACAATAACATTTATAAATATTCAACATTAAATCTTAAGATAAGGAAAACATCAGAATGCTAGCGCTTGAGGCAGGGTTATATGCTCCACATGGACCGGCAGTTGGAAGTACCACTGGGGATATAAGCCGCACATCGATACACAAGATCTGTCCATCGTGCCATTTCAAGATTGAGACGACCACGATCACAAGACCCGGAATTCTTACCTACGTGTACTCCAGCTGTATCTGCCTGTTTACCTTTGGACTGGGATGCTGCCTGATCCCTCTCCTCATGAATGATTGCAAGGAGGTCCACCACGTGTGCCCCAACTGCGAGGAGCCTCTGGGGATAATTCGGATTTGATAAGATTGGATTTTCCTATTCGGTTTATGATTAATAAGCTACCAACAAATTTCAAAATGTATAACTGCAATTGCTTTTTAAGCTTAATCGCATTTGTTTTTGCATAATTTTTATTCGGATTTAAAAAAATGCTTACGACATCAAGAACGCCCAGACACCATAAATGACGTAATGTAACCAGTCACGCGCTGCTTATAGAATTCTTGTATAAAGTTTCCTTATCAACAATTTTCAGAACCACTTGGGAATTTAGTTTCTTTCAAGCTCTTGCATTAAAAGGTTGTTTTTCCACTTTATTGAAGTTATTCGCTGAAAAGTAATAAATTATAATCAAAACATTGTATATTCAAAATGATTGCATTAGGACCGAAATAGTTCTGCGATGAGTGCTCCATTTCCGTTGACCCGCCGTTCCGAAACCCCCCCACCCTCTTATGAGGAGGCAATGGATTGGAGACCCCTTAGAAGACCTGTGACAGGACAGGAGATCCCAAGGTCTGACGCAACGCAGATATCCTGCCCTTCGAACCACGCCGAGATTCCAAAGAGCACTGATTTCTCGAATGCCGTAGTGATCTTTGTTATTATCTTTCTAACCTTATTAATGGGTTGTCTCGTGTATTATAGTTGACATCCTTGTCCATCGTTTCCCAAGAGGGAACATGGGTTTTACCGCAAAGACTAATATGAATATAAAAGTATTTATATATGACCAAGTTCATCAATCCACCGAATAATATTATAAAAAAATATTAAATATTTGTGCATAACTGTGACTTTTTCTTTACTATTATTTTAGCGAAATTAATTTAACATTTGTTTGGTTTTATGAAAAGCAATAATGAAGATCATTTTGGCAAGCCACACTTGTTTACCTTCATTTATTTCTTATTTTATTTGTGCAACAAAAATCCGTATTGACGAAATGCTATAGTGAACTGAGTTTGATAAAACTACAAACGTTCCTTAGAAATGTTTTAACTATTATTTCCTTTTTATTTTTCGAAACGTTCCTTCTGCAGTTCCATAATATAAAATGATATGTAATATCTACTTGTATGTTTGATGTTAACGCTGATCAATAATACATGCTTTTCAGGGTCGGAAATGTAACCTTATATTTTTTAGAACTTCCTGACTGCAAGGGAATACAATTATGTTAAAGTGTCCAGTAATATAATCAGTCTCTATAAAGAAAGAAGATTAAGGCTGTAGAAATGGAGTAGAGATGCTTGTAAACATCCACTTGTACCATTTTGCTGTGGCTCCTTTCTATATTTATTTTTTTGGCTCTGAGGCAGCTGCTGTTAATAAGGTGTTGGGCAATTTTATTTTATTGGTTTCTAGCACCAGGGCCTACACATTTCCACAGCCGTAGGAGGCTCCTTTAATTTTAATTGGCTCCACGCCCAACAGCACGTGTCCTTGCCAGCAGCCTGTTACTCAATTGCCAAGTTGTCGCCGCCCAACTCCCCTTTTAAGCCTTGTTTTTGGAACATGTGTGTTTTTGCGGGACTTTTGCCGCCTTTACATTCCCTTTTTTATTCGAGGCACTTCTTTTTTGCCGTCTTTGCTGGTCGTTAACATGTTCTTATTTAATGCCAAAGAAATTGCCATTGGCATTTATTGCCGTAATTAAGAGATGGAAAAAATCCTTGAATTGCTGCACAACGCACTTGCTTTAGACCAGGCCAAAACAGAAAAAAAAGAAGAAAACAAAACAGTTGGCCATCAAAGAGCAGCATCGACATAGGCTGGGAAATACATTTTTGCTTTAAGATTTGGAAACTGCCAGCCGGCAAAACGAAAAGCAATTTGTGTTTTCTGGTAAGTGCCATTTTCTTTGTTTGGAAAAGGGCCTCAGACTCGATGGGGTCCTCCAACCTTCGTCCTTGCCGCCGTCACTCAATTCGCTTTGAAATTTATGATCCAGTTGGAGGAGAAGTTTCCACCTCCGACTTTTTGGTGTGCCGGCTTCTGCAACAGGCGTTTAATTAAACGCTTTTAATGCTACTAGCCGGGGATCCAATGAACAAGTGGCTCATTCAATGGCCCTAAGCCATTAAGTTTAATGAAATGTTGTATGAATTTGGTTTCAATTCACTTAAAAGTCTTAGCACCCGCAAAGGACATTTAAGCTTTAACGTGGGTACCTATAATTTAACATTTAATTTGAATTAAATTAAAGTTACGAGGCAATTAATCTCTTGGGTCTGTGAGAAAATTAAAGAGCATGCTTTTACTTAGTCAAATATATTAGAATTTTTTGTTACAGAATTTGAGAAGAGAAGTTCAAAGGTTAGGACTTTATATCTCGTAAAAATATTTGGTAAATTTGATTTTCAGTTGTTATCCCAGAATTCATTTTAAAAATGCATTCCTGATTTAAAATATTCGCTTTTACTTGCATGCATTCATCGCATACTTTCCTTTAAACGCTCTAAATAATTTCTCCGACATTTTCCACAGATTCGAACTGCCATGAAAACTGTGAACAGCTTTTGTTCTGCGGGGCAATTAAATGAAAAATAGTGAGAACCCTTGGTGGGCGAAGGGGAGAAATGTACCTATAAATGACGATATTTCGCGTTCCAGCGCCATTGTAAAGTTAATAAAAATAAATATCTGTTTTTTGGCCATTGCATAGTGGAATAAAAAAAATTATATTTCTGAAAAATTACACTTCATATAGTTCTACTGCTATTATAAATAGTGTTCTAAAAACGAAATAAATTATTTTAATTAAACATATGAAAGCATTCATTTTAATCACAAGGTATCTTGTCTATAGCCAAAAAATAAAGTTCAAATGTAGTTTATCTGCTATTAAGTCATCTGTTTTTCCCACTGTGCGACGATGGGTCGATGGGAAAACTGCCTCGATTACGTCTGCGCTTATGTCAGCGGGTTTTCCGACGTGCCCCCAGAATTTTCCGTGTGAAAGTCGGGGGCATGCGACAGACGCATATGCTGAAAGTTTAATTAATGTTGTCACGTGCTGAAACTGCGAAGATGAAATTCGTTTGTAAATTACTCCCAACAAAGCCTATATATAGGTATATATATATATATATTAAATATTTTATATTTATTCTGGAATATCTGCCGCGGTGTAATGATTGAAATTCAATTTAAAGAAAACTCTGCGAACGTGCCGCTCCAAAGGAAATTTCACTTTCCGGGGTGAGTGCTTAAAATTCAATACACGCCGCTTAAACACACACACCCAAGCATCCTGGTTGTCCTTTTTTGGGGCTGATAACACTAAAGTTGTACGCCTGACTGAAGAAGTTTAATTTGATACACAAACAGAAAACAGAAAACAAAAAACAGAGCCGTGCAAACAAAACAACATCCGATGGGGCCGTAAAACATTTAAATTAACGTCTCCTTCAAAGCAGTAACCTTGCAAAGGAGCAAATGTGTGTGCCCGAGTTGAAAAGGCATTCCTGAAATGGTAGACATGGCAAACTGGCAAAAAGGGTCACACGCAGGCATGTCCATAAAGATAAAAACCATAACGTGCTCATAAAGCGCAGAAAGGCGCCAACACTTTTCATCTACTGCCATCCAAAGTTAGATAGATACACTGAGGCATGAAAAAGGGGTTCCGAAAAATCTTGGGTTGCTAATTTTTCAATAGACAGGTATACATTTTTTATAGGGGGCGACCTTTTAGAGGGACATGTCAACGAGTTAATAAATAATAAGAACTCACACGACACTTGTTGGGATAGAAGTTTTTGTTTAAAGGAACATTATTTACATCTTTAGTATTCCATAAATTTCTTCTTTATAGAATAACTTTGTTCCAGGAAAAAACATATTTGTTCAGCACTTTCAACTACGAATTATATTGTATATTGTCAACATTGTCAATAAAATAAATAAGAACTCAAGCGATATTGGTTGGAACTTATGGTTTTATTAATATTTAAATTCCATAAGTCTTTATTTTTGCACAAATGGCTTGTGGTTTATGTTTTTTATTTTACGATCCTGTAAAAACTTATTTTTTCAGAATTTTAAGCTGCATATAATATTGTATATTACCTATAAGCTAACTATTTCTATAAGCGTAAAACAAGTATCAATAAAAAAGGGCTTACAGTATGAAACAATGTTTATAAATGTAAAAAAAATGTTTTTTAATTTTTTTAATTTAAATATAAATATTTACCTTTGAAAGCTTTTTTTTGTGTGCACTTACCTACTCTGTGGTACTCACCCCGAAATGCATGTCAAGTTGGTAACCCGCTGCGTATACTTAATGAAGTTGCTAGGAGATAAACGAATCGTTTTTGCGCTAAAACATTCTAAAGCAAACGACACAAGATAAATTGCTCTTAGGTGTACATTCAGTAGACTCGCCATTTATTGGATTGCTTTAAACAAACGCATTTAATGCACATATTTTCCAACTCAATAACATCAACGCTTAACTACAGCACTTAATTTACATGCAATTGTTTGTTCTCGTCTGTTCAAGCGACAACACAGATTTTGCAAATGTAATTTTTCGTATTTCATATTTCGGCAAAGGGGTGGGCAATTTGCAGCATTTAATCGATTTTGAAATATTTATAATATTGCAGCTAAGTGTACGACAGATAATTAATGCTTAATTGTAACTACAATTATTTATTCACTATATTTAGTTGGAAGGTATTGTGTGAGTTTTTAAAGGAGATATGTGTATTTTACAGTTCACATCAACTTTGATTAACTATTTTACAGAGTGTGTGTTTTGTGTGTTGTGTGTGTGGTTGGGCTCCCATTTTGAATAGATCGGCACTTAAACATGGCTTAATAAATATAACAGCAAATGCATTTTACCACCATCATCATTATGAGTACTTAAATCATTTTCATTGGAAATGACTCGCTGCAAGTTTCAATTAGTAAGCAATTTAGATTTAATTATCTACATATATGAAATGTAAATTTAATTAATATTCCGCCCAAAAACACATGACTTTCAACAAAATGTGTTGTTGACTTTCGCGCGTTCGTTTGTTTGCCAAATTCAATAAATTCACAACATTCGGGGGCTCATTATAGTTGCAAATCATTTTGCTTAGCAATGCAAATCGCAAAACTCCTGGCTTTATTGCATTTCATTGAAATCGGGTGTTTTTTGGGTTCGACTTATAACTACATTTAGCTAAGTCAATCAGTTATCTAATTAGTTGTACAAATATAATTTAATAAAGTCTTTGATAATTCAACTGGCCTAAGCATAAAACATTTTTGATTGCTGCCAGCCAGTGCAAAAGCTGTTCGACTAGATAAAGTCGAAAACATTTGGATTTATAAGGCCTAAAAAATAAAAATTTCGGCTATTTCCCAAATCATATTATTTTTTGATTGATTATAAAAATTGCAAAACATGTTTAATAACTTTAACAACGATTTTTTTAAATACACTAAGAAATAACCCAAAATTTAGGAATTATTACCTAAGAAATTGTTATGCTCTTATATTTTTAAAAAAATATTTTAAAATCTTTAATTTGAAGTCAGTGTTTTAAATATAAGGGCAGGGTTATGTTTTTAGTAAATTTAAGTTATTGTTGCTTTCAGGGCTTACAAGACTTTTTTGTCCCTTGAAAGACCTGTTTAAAAAATATCAAAAATAAATTTTAGATTTATTTGGAACCCTAATGAAATATAATTTCTAATACATGATGTTGAAACTAAAAAATATAATCCATCCGGTTCCTGATATAAATAAATCTTATTTAATAATATAATATCCTGGTAAACTTACAGTGTTTTTTCGACTTTTGCCGAACAGCTTTGCCTGGCAGGCCAAAATTCATTCTCTTTACACGGAAACCTCTTTGGTGTACTTGGACCGATCGTTCAGATCCAGGACCAGCTTGTCTGGCCTCTTGGGACGAGATGTGCCTCCACTGCCACTGGTGGAGTTATTAGAGTTGTTGGACACATTGCCCAGGGAGGGAGCAGCCAGGGAGTCGGGCTCCAGCTGAGCCTGGACATGGATCTTCTCCTTCTCAGTGGAGTACAGGACAATGTCGTCCGTGGAGTGGGCCGCCTTGGTCCTGGCGCCCTCGCCCTCAACTTCCGCTGCCGTCGTGCGATCCAGGACCTCGATGCTGCGGGACTGGATGGGATGCACCTGCTGGCCACTCGGCTGTTGGCCAAGCTGCGGATTCGCCTGGGCCTGCGAGTAACTGCCGCTCCTCCGGCGGCCAGTTAGCTTGTACTTACTTCTACAATTATCACAAATTTGATACGAAATGCTGAGCTCGGCCTCCAATAAATTGCGGGGTTGCCTTTTGCAGCTGGTTGGCGGAGTATTGGTGGCTGCCGTTCGCACTGTGGGCCTCCTCTGGCTGCGCTGGCAGGGATCAGCCTGGTCGAGGTCCTCCGACTGGGAGCACATGCAATCCAGCTTGATGTTGGCGAAGCTAAGGCTGCCCTCATCCTTGGGTGAACCCATGTGATCGCAGGCGCTGCGCGGTGGACAGCAGTAGTAGTGCTCCTTGGACGCATCCAAACAGCGACTGCAGATGATGTGGCCATCGGCTGTCCGCCGGAGCAGCTGCTCCCGGAAGTCATCGCCGCTGATCTCCGTGTTCATGGCCCGCTCCTCGTAGGCCGCCGAGGGGGGCGTAGAGCTCGGGGGCGTTTCCAGGACCATGGTGGGGATACTGGCCCTGGCACTGCCACGCCCATTGGCATTGTTGTTCTGCTGGCTGTACTTCTGCATCTCCACATTCAGGGCCAGGAGGGGCAGGGCACTCTGGCGGGTGGCGGCCGAGTGGCCATGGGCAGTGGCTCCCGCCGCCGCCGCCACAACCATAAGGCCGCCCGGGGTCTTTAGGCCGTCCAGCAGGCTGGAGATGGTCATCACCGCCACGCCCTTGGGCGGAGCCATCTCCTGGATGCGCTGCAGCTGCATGCTCAGCTGGCGGATCTCCTCCAGCGCCTCCTGGTCGGACAGCTTTGTTTCTGGGGAGGGAGAAGAAGTGGTTTGGATATGACATAAAATAATAAATATATTATTATTTTATAATTTATATAATACATTCGGACATCCTTTATAAGTATATGTAATATGAGCTCTATAACTCAATAGCCCCACGTTTCGTAAGAATTCTGTATAGTATTGTATGAACTCCTTTAGAAAACTTAAACAAAGTGAAGTATTATTATTATAAATATTATTATCATCAAAATGGTATTTTAAAAATATTTTAACCTAAGCAAATAAATACTATAAATAAGGAATGGACTATTTGAATTACATTTCGATTTAAGTTATATAACTCCTATGTACAAGTGTTTAAAGACCTTTCAGAAATACTATTGGTACTAAGTGTATTTCTTTATTAAAAGAATGGTACTTTGTGAAAATGTTTCAACATAACATTTTAAGCATATTAATAAGAAAGCACTCGTTAGCTAAATTACGTTTTCTATTCTAAACCGTTTTTTAACGATTGGTTAAAGATCTCGAGAAGCACACACATAAAATTAGGGTTGAACCCACTTCGAATTAGAGAAGATAATTATATTTTATATTTATCATACTTATAAATGCAACCCCCATAAACCCATTACATAAAAGTCTTCCCAAGAGCTAGAAACCTAAAGAAAATATTATACTTTAAATTGAAGTCTGGGTGTTTAGTAGTCAGTTGGCTTTTATGTTTGGGCTGCCCAAAGGGTTGACCAAACATCGCTACAAATGTAAGGGAGATACGATCTGCTTTGAGAAAGGCAAGCTGAATGGGAGCTGTGTTTTCATTTTCATGCCGCGTTAAAAAACACCGCTCCCTGCTTTCCGCTGCCAACTTTTGCACTAAAAAAGTTGCCCGTCCATGTCAAAAGTTTCACACTACCCAGCCCCACGAAAACCGACCTCAAATTTAAATGCGTAATGTTTGTACCGTCTGTGGAAATGGGAAATGGTAAGGAAAGTGGCTGGGGAAAGTGGCTGGGGAAAGTGGAAGGGAAAGTGGAAGGGAAAGTTGGACCCTGTTGTGGCTTTGACTTCGGCTCGGAAAAGTGGCAGACTTCCTCTTCGCTGGCGGAATGATAAATGGCCATTCAATTCGGCTGAAAGCCTGTCGGTATGATTTAAGCCACGTCCACTCAAAAGCAACTTGCTATCAACTTTCAAATAATAAGGAGGAAAACAAATAAATTTAAAACCGAAAAAACACTCGGTTTCTCTCTCCCTGCAATCAAAACTACTTGGGAAAACCCAGGGAAATTCCTTGACGGATTGATGGAGGCTTTGCGACCCCTCTTTCCTGTAAGTATATTAAAAGCACCCCTGATTTTTTTTTTTTTACCAGTGTCCGTTGAATTTAGATTTATGGCTGTGAAATTAAGCGAGCGGAGCAGTCGACAGTGGCCAAAATTGAATTTATTATGTGTGCCCCTCTTAGTATGCAACACAATATTCCCTTTTCCACTCGCGCCATATTTAAAATTCGCCACACAGATACTACTCCCCATAAGTGTGTGTGCGTGGGTTGAGTTGAGTGTTTGCTACTTTGTGATTGTTCAATTTAAATATGCAAATTGAGAGCCGCTTAAAAACTCACCCAGCAAAAAGCAGAGACAAGGCCGAGTGGCACAGAAAAAAAATGTAAATTTAACGCACAATTTACGCAGCCACAAAAATGCGTTACGTTTTGCGTTAAAATAGAAATACGAGTAGGTAATAAAAAATTAAATAAAAACCTCTCTGCCCGACTGAGAGCCTATAAAGCATTAAAACATAAAGCGTCGCTCGCTGGCAATAAACTTCTAGGGGCGAAGAAAATTAAAAAGGTTCGCCATCAAACCGAATAGTAAACACCGCGATAACAATGGCAGCCAAAAAGGTATAATGGCTAAAAGGAGCCAGCTCCGAAAATTACCTCCTAACGAAATGGATGTTTTAGCATTTTATTTTCTAGTCATTATGATTAAATTCCAAAAATAGGCTTTAATATATGCTTTAATATATTTATTCGAAATGCAAATGCAAACATTATTCTTCTATTTTACCAGGTTGTTTTATAGGCATTGATAAAGTCATGCAAGAGACAATGCAATAAATCACAGGCAAAAACTCGGGTTTTAAATACCATTAAGTTATCCGTTATTCACATTAAAATAAATTTTAATTTAAATTTTAATTCCTAGTAGCTCCTATTTTATAAAATACGTACACTTCATTGCACGCGATTGAGATTCTTTACCTTCTCTAATTTGCTTGAATTTAATATTCATACATTTTTTCAACTAAAAGTTTTCTTTTCATTTCCTTAAACTACTACTTTATTCTATATTTAACTTATTATAAATACCAATTAAAAGTTTTCTAAAAACAGTTGAGCTATGGTGCTTCTTTGTTAATTAGGGATATATTTTGATTATTTATTTCTTGGTACCGCCCACTCATTCAATTTTATTTTAAATGAATTGAATACTTCATGCTGCCAATTATAATTTGATGGAAATTAATATTCTCGTTTCTTTCATTAATTCATTCATTTTTCTTATAACAAGCATGTTACTTCCATTTCACTAAACTTTGAGCAATCAATCGAAACTGAAATTCGGTTCCCGAAGTTAGCTTTGGTCTTGAATAAAAATTCTAATCAAAAGTTATTGGCTGCCCGTTGCCGTGGCATCTGTGTAATTTCATAGTTCAATTACGGACTCTTCACAGCTTTAAAGTTGCCCGGGGCCAATGAAAATTCCCCGGGAGCCAAAAAAGGGAGTCCACCTTCGGATGGGTGGGATGGATGTGGATGGAAGCCCAGGACCCCGGGGAGTTCACATAGTTGTTTATACATTTATACATCAAAGCCAGCGAAGCGATAAACAAATATGGCGTCGGCGGCAACTTGGCGGAAGTTTGCGCTTTGGAGCAGCTTCCTTCCTTCCGTGAAAACACGGACATACCCGCACACCCACATACACACGAATCTCGGGTTAACCGCAGCTAAGATTGTTTTGAAGGAGCCCTGGAATCGGGCCATAAATCAGCATCCGAGGCTGTCAACTGGATATGTGCCATGGCTCATGGCTCATGTCTAGACAGCAGCGATAAGCGTGCCGCTGACGCCGCCTGTCCCGCCCATTTTTTAATTTGCCGAATAATACACCATAAATAATCGTCAGTCGGGGAGAAGACTTTATCGACGCTGCACTCAGGGAAAAACAATTATCATGTTTGGGAACCAGATGATTTATGAAGGCATTATAACCCTCCTCAAATGATTAGGGTACTTAAGATCACTTTATTTGTTACTTGTTGATTATATATAGTTACTTTACGAGGTCTCACATGGATATTGATATGGATTGATTATAAAAGTCTTGAAAAGTTATTTAAATCTAATGAGTTGGTAAAGACATCTTGCAGTCGATATGTCTAGAATAAGTTGTCTGGCATAGAAAATTGACTTCAATCCAATGTCTTAAAGATTTCAAGATTTCTGAGATACTTTCATGTAAAATCATTTATTTTCGTTTTTTCAACGATTTTTGATTGCTTACGAACTTTTTATTCAAAACCAAAATTAGTTTGGGTTCAAATCTAGTAATGAAATCTAGGAATAAAATGGAATTAATGACTGGTAAGAAAAATATATTGACTTCTTATATCATAATGTGATAAACAGGTTTCTTTTGTCCTAACTAGCCCTATTTTAACTTTTTTTTTGTGCTCAAATCTTAATATGATGGAAGGAATGGATTTAATGGCTGGTAACCTTATTTAAAGAAAAATATAAAGACTTATTATATCATAACGTGATGGACAGGTCTCCTTTGTCATAACTAGCCCTATTTTCTCTTCATAAAAATATCCTAACTATACGTATTTCTTATTCCCTTGTGATACAAAGTACTCTATATCTATGTGGTCTTCTTCTTTGGGCTTACAAAAATGTATATAAAATATTACCATTATTATATCAATATTAAAATATTTGGATGTATCCCTGGTTTCTCTTCATAAAAATGTACCGACTTTTTTCCCGTGCTACAGACTACACTCTATGCAGGTCCCCTCCGCAGATCATTTGTCAAGTGGACACTGTCGTTTGTCATAAACGTCGATACGCTGGGACCATTAGGACAAATGGGGCAATTGGCCGCTATCGCTGGACGACCAGCGGCACTCCACTCACCTGCTGACGTGGTGCCCGCCACCGGGACCGTGGAGGTGGTCACCGAGCTGGGATTGGCAAAGGTGCGCACTTGGGGACGGAAATTGAATTTCGCCCCCGATGCCTTGGTGCCCATGCCGATGTTCTCCTGATGCGATTTGCCACTACGCAGCACGATGTACACCTGCGTCAAATTGCGGATCTGGGATCAGTTAGGAGCCTAAATGGCCGGGCCAGGAGGACACTCACCTTGCTGCCGAAGATTAGGGCCAGGAGCAGGGTCACAGTCAGCTGCGTGTGGCAAAAGAAGATGATGTACAGCAAGTCCGGGTTGGCCGGCGACTGCAGGAAGAGCCTGAGTAAATGGTAGTAAATCAAGTGGGCATTTATTAGATAGCGAAATCTATTCTCAGAAGTCATCTTCAAGTTTTTCATTTAAAAAGTTCACTCAGAGAATCAACTGGACATTTTTGAAGCTTAGAAGAAAGCTAGATAAATGGCTTTCATCTTTAGGTTTACTTGGAAAACTAAAGGTATAAATATCAGGCTTGAGGTAAACAGTTTCTCCATTAAAATCAAAATATTCGGGAGAAAACTCATTTGAAAGTTTCATAGAATGCCTGGCAGACCAACGTATTTTTATGAGTGCTCTAGATGTAAAAGCTATAAAAGTACTTCAGTAGATGGGAATAATAAATGTTGCCTTGAGTTATAACTTGAACTATTCTGAGAATATATGAAAAGCATAAATTCATATTCATTTTTTTGGATAAGGTTTTTCTGCGAAAGCATTGAAAGCCTGAGTTTTTAATGACTTTTCAATTCTTTGTATTCGATTTTTCGTTAAAATTTAGATAACTCTAAGAGTAGAAGAACTAACTTTGTATGATTCATTTAGATATGATACTTCAGATTTGGGTTATTTTGTTATTATATGTATGAAATTATAGTTTCTAATGAAATGGTGGCACTTACATGGACACATTGAGGAAGCAGGTGAGCAGGAACTCATTGTAGATGGCCATCGAAATAAAGCGACTCTCGTTGAACTCCGAGGGCGCCTTCCGCACCATGATGCACAAACGAACGCCCCAGGCCAGAAACAGGACCTCCACTGGGAAATGGGTGAAAGAAGAAAGTAGTTGGAAAAGGATTAGTTCCCTTGCGCACTTTTTCGGCTGCCCAATTTCACTTTGAAGTTTAATTACCAAAACCGCGAGTCAGTATTTTATTATTAAGTACATACAGAGGGGGTGAAACTATAGAAGCGCCACTGCATTTTCATGGCTGCTGTTGCCCCCTATTTTATTTCTTTGCAACGAAATATGAAAAGGCATGTTGCCCAAGGAGAACTAGTTTTTTGGCCAAATGTTCCAGCATGCAATTATAAATGTAATACGCGCTTTTTTGGATTGCAGCCAAGTCAAATGAAGTTATTTAGCAGTGGCTGCTGCCAAAGCGCGTGATGAACGCCAGAATCGGCGATAATTGTTGTGCGTGTGTGGCTGACAAAGGAACAGATGCAGATGGAAGCACTCGAGTCCTTCCTCAACTTTTTTAATTAAACCAGCTGGCAAGTGGGGCGCAGTACTTCCCGGCAAAATCCACTCTCCCGCTGCTTCAACTTGGCTTATGGCACGGACCTGTGTCGCCAGTCGCTTTGTAAAAGCGCAAAAATCATTCATATGCAAGTTAGAGTGGACCCTAGTCTAGGAACCAGAAGATCAAGGGGTTGCTCTTTTGTGAATATAAGGGGTTTTAACGACTGCAATATGATGTGTTAAAGCAAAATTTAATTAAATCCAGAAAAACTAACTTGTGATGTCCTCAAGTTACTAAATCAAATATAAAAATCATTATTTTGTTATATTTTGTAACCGATAACTGAAAGAAAGAAATTATAGCTCTACAAATAAAGGTCCCTTAAACTCATTGATAGTAAATACAAATGTTTAATTTTGTTGATTTTTCGATCGACTATAATAAAAATCTAGTAAAGCAGTTTTATTAGCAAGCTCTATCTCCTTTTACTAGGAAATCATAAGAGCTAACGGAAAAATACACTAAAAGTTCTAAGCTTTATAAGAATACTTTATTTTCACCTTCAAAGACTAGAAAAATTAAACAAGTTTTAAAATAAAATTTCACCAAACGACTTTCCACTCTAAAACCCAAGGTAGATAGCCAGTTGACATCTAGACAGAGGGTAAATGGCCAGAAGAAGATGAGAAAATATTGACGGTGGAGCAAAACCAACAAGAGCAGCAGGTGTTCGTCCCACTGTGCAGTAGCTACCGGTTGGCCTGACAACTTTTTCATGCTACTGCACTTTCGCATTTCTTCTCCGGCATTCAGTGCGTATACGTTATGAGGACATAGTTGTTGGTTCTACTTCTTTTTTTTTTAATATTTCCCTTGCCAGCAAACAGAGCTGCCTTTAAGTGGCCTCCGGAATTCCATATTGCATTAGGTATTCCCAACTTACTCGATGTGAATGTGTAGTCCCACCAGTCGGTCTTGCAGAGGAAGGCCTTCAAATCATCGGCAGTGCGGCCCACAACAACATCCGGTGGAGAGACGAGGGTCCTGACAAGCAGGCAGGTTCCAATCGCCCCGCAGATGATGCCCAGTCTTTTGAGCAAGGCTGCATCAGTGATTTTCACAGCCTTCGCTGAACGAACTCGGAAAATCACCGATATCCTATGGGCCAAATCAGCAAAATCACAGGAATATGTAGTATATATATAAGATATATGATAAATATATAAGATAAGATATCTATATCTTACCGCCAGGTCTTCAGCATCAGAGCTCCGTAAGTCAGTGAGAATCCTATCTCACGCAGCCAAATGCGGGCGGTGCAGGTGTACAGATTGGGATTGGGATACATCACTATGTTCTGTAAAAGAAAATATAAAAAATAAATAAAGCGATGAATAGGTAGTTTGAAAAACGTTTTTAAACGGAATTGGACTTGAAACAAATGGATCTATAAGTAATAAAAAAAGGATGTAATAAAGAAAGGATGATACCATAATGATATTTTATCTTTTACGTTTATCTATTATTTTTGGCTTTCATTAAAATGATTTTTTGAGCAATTTTTTAAAAATATTGAGTGTATTATAATGTTAATTTTTATAAAAAAAATACAATGGATGAAATCTTTTATATGTTTCTTCGACTTCTACTAAAAATATAGACGGATGTTTCATTTCCTTCATTTGGGTATATAAAAACACAAATGTTTGTTGTTAATATGCCGCAGAAAACTCAATATAAAAACAAAGTCCCCCAGAATGATCATTGAAAAGTTAAGTGCAAGCCAGCATTTATCATTCAGTCAGCAGTTTAATGAAACCCTCGAACAAATGTGCCAATAAGCCTGCTGTCAGGGACAATAGGTTATTTTAGGCACTTGTGTTGGCTTCTATTTTGGGCTTTCTTCACGCCTTGCACATATTAAAAAATCATAAAGCAAACTGTGCTGTCAGGAACCCTCCTCTAAGTCCTCATCCCAGTCCCCATCCCCATCCCCATCCCCATCCCTATGCCCATCCTAGTCCTGTGTGTCCATTGTGTGCTCGTCAAGAGATACTCATGGCGGCCAAATAAATCTGCCACACATAAATAAATTCCCATCCCCAGACCCTTGCCACTTGCCGGATGTTCGATGAACTCTCGCTTAAAGTTGTTTATTTGGCCGGCATCCCATTAGTTTCCCTCGCCAGCCATAAATCAATCAAATTAAATTGTGTAGAAATTGATGGCCATTGGGTTGGAGTTCGTTTTCGTTTACGTTTTCGGTTTCGAGTGTTGGGTTCTGTTTGCCGAACGCTTTTCTATCTCATTTTTCACTGCAAATGCAAATTTTGCGGCTATTTATGGCTTCGATTGCCGCTGAATGCCTCCATTGAGTTGTAATAATAATGTTCAGCAGACACTTTGGACCGTTTGGAAAATGTTTCATTTCGGCTGGCAAAATAAAGCGGATGCATCTATCTATTCGATGGCTCTCAATTAATTCGGCTTGCAGTGAAAGCTAGCGTTTCCCATTGATTATGCCACTCAATTGAAATGAATAAATTGCGAAATCATATTCGATGCAGTCGATTGACGGCTAATCCGTAGCAGTTTATTCAAAATGAAAATAAAATTCCTTACTCACCGTGCAGTAAATGAAGAATGCCCCCAAGGCAATGACCCGCAGTAAAGCCGGACTGGCTGCCCTCACAACCTGAAAAACAAGACATTTCCAATTAAGTACTTGCTAGCAAGGGAAAAAAGTTTGCAAATTAAAATTGAAATCGTTTAATCCGCACAATTTCACAAGGAAATCACTGCAGGACCCCGTTTCTCTAAGTTGGCAGAATGTCGGGCGGTATGTTTAGCGCCATTTAATTAGTTTGGGCAAACTCACACACACACCATCTCGCGCCCATTGGGGACTTCCCCGGAGACACAAATGCGACAGAATCGCATTACGAATGAAAACAGTTTAGTTGGCTAGTTGCCTTGGGACGCGGACAAGTGGAACGGGTATGGGTTTGGGTAAGGGATGGGATTGGGGATGGGTTTGGGGATAGGAGCTCGGGGACATGGAGGTATGGCGAGTTGGGGGATAGGATAGACAGCACACAAATGTCAGACTGCGACAAGGGAATAGAATAACTCACTTCCCAGCAGCAACTCTCTCTAACACAGAATCACTTCAAAAATAAAATACTATTTATTAAGGAGCTGTGCCGGAAAAAACTGCAGTTCCAGAAGAAATCAAATAAAATCTTAAATTATAGCTGGACTGTTTGTACGATTACGATTTTTCCATTAAAGGCTGAAAAAATAACTGGAATATTTGAAGATTGAAATATTCTTGATTCGACGTTACAGTTTTATGACAAAGAAAAACAGATAGTATTAAAAATGGAAGAAAATGATATAACCACAAATTATTATAAAATCCTATAAAAAGAATTCTAAAGAAGTCACACTGGATGTTTTAAAAAATTAAGCTTTTACCAAATATAACTTTTCTAGTTTACCATTAGCTGAGGTATTAAATTTTTATTAGAATGCTAAATTATATTGTTCAATTTTTAAATCTTAAATAATAAATTAGTTGGCCTTTCCAAATATTATCCACATATTATAGTAAGAATCTTAAATTTGAGAAGGTTTTCCTTCTCAGTGCATATATATTACATCCGCAGTGGACGAGAAAGTTGCGAGTGGTTTAAGTCCGAACGCCAGAGACAATTGGACGCCGGCAGCCGGACTTGTTCTCTGGTCTAATGAGCGACCGAGTGACATTCTGAGCGGAGTTCCCGGGGCAGAACCTTTCCACTTTCTACTTTCCCCGTTTCCTCTACCTCTTCCTCTTCCTCCTGAAGACAGGAAACAGCAGGATGTGGGATGTGGTGTGGGTGTGGCCAGTTGTGCGAATGTTTGCACTTCCGCTTATGCGCGACTATATCCGCTGTCCTGGTGGCTTGTTGCCGGCTGTCATCGGGCGGACTCCTGGCTGGCCAGGCTGCACGTTCAAAATTAACTCGATTCTAACAATGCTAAGCCGCTTAGCGGCTCAATGATGACAGCAGCTTAGGTTGGCCCCGCTCCGGATCAGCGCTATTTGACAGTGCGCACAGATACTCACAAAAACACGAAATAAAATATAATAAAGACAAACGATAGACAGGTTCCGGCTGCTCGGGGATAATGCTATTATAATGGTTTTACAATTTCGGACTGGATTTTAAGAGATTTATTAGAGATTTTAATTCCACAACTGTTATTCGGAACATTGCTGGACAGCATGCGGATTTCTGCAAGCAGCTTATACTTCTTTTACCTAATAAATATGTACTAAACATTTTATTAAGCTTTTGTTCTATAGTAATAAATTTAAAAACTTCCGGGTATTAATTCTAAAATTAAAAAAATCGATCAAGTAAATGAAAATTACTTCCGAATATTCAAAATTACGGGGGTCATATAAGTCACTATGGGTTTCACATTATTTATAAAGGTGTCTAAAGAATGCTGTTAAAATGGAACAGCGTATTTTGGTATCAATCCATTGGACTTCTTGATTGATAATATATTATTGCATACTTTTAGACACCTAAAATATTAAATTGTAATTTTTATAAAAATAAGCTCCAATATTAAAAAAACGAAATTAAGAAAAATGGTAAGGACAAAGAACCACTCTTATAAATCTCTTATAAATCACTTATAAGGGTGACTAAGTTTTTGGTATTTAAGTCTACTGTTGCATACTTTTAGACACCTTTAAAGAGATTTCTCTTCCCTGACTTTTTTGGCGCCTCCAAATAGTTATGCCCCTTCAGTTAAAAATAATTCCCTAATTTTAACGACGCAATCTGCTGATATAAATTGGTTATCGTGGACCTCCTGCAGGCCACTGATATTCTACTTAGAGGACCCAAATACAAAGTGTTGAAATACCAACGGCCCGCGGGAACTGGGACTCACCTTAACCTGCTGGTAGCGGAAGGTGAACCAGGCTGCCGGCGGCAGGAGTCCAATCACGATGCAGGCCAGCGCCAGGATGCTGGTGCGCATCGGCCAGTTGAGGGCGGCGATGCAGGGCGAGGAGTCCTCGCAGGAGTCACAGCCCTCGGCGCAGGGCAGGCACTCGTACTCGCTGTTGCTGTTGTACGTGGAGTTCTTGCCCTAATACATATTTAATGAGAGTAAGGCTCTTAGGGCGGCCACTTGGCCAGGACGAGGACGACTTACCAGCATCAGCTTCTCGTACTCCTCCTCCAGCAGGCTGCCGTTGAAGAACTTGTGCTGCGAGACGATGTCGGGGAAATAGAATCCCTTGCGGCACAGGCATTTGTAGGAACCACGCCGAAAGCCCAATCCCATGATGGCCTCGCACTGCGAAATGGTAAGTCGGGAAATGAAAATCAAAATTAAGTGCTGACTGCGGAGAAATTCGGGTTTCTACACAGAGAGGAATTCAGCAAGTCATTCAGACCATTACATTTATGATTCATTCACACATTCTCAAGATGGAATAATAACTGACTTTAATTTTTAGAAAAATAGCAAGGCTCAACAACGAAGGAACTACATTTTTTCTGTCTATTTAAAAACCCGCTGAATTGAATACTGCTGTTTCAACTTTTTTTTTTAATTCTCTAACATTTTTGATAGCTTTGTAAATTTAGTTTTTATTTATTCAAGGCTTTGGAGACTTACTGTTGAAAAAGAAAGTAATATTTTGAAACTACTTAGAGCAATTTTATGAACCAAACAAATATTTTGTTTTCGTAATTATTCCGTAATCTGCCTAGGAAAATAGTTTTTCAGTATTTTAATATAAGCTTACAACAATATATTTGAGATCTGGAAGTCCTAAAATAGCTGATAAAACATGTCTATTATAAGAGTGTTCTAACCTATGGACGTATCTGTGCCTCTCTTATGTAATAATCTTTTCTCACTGTTTTAGAGTTAGAGTCTATGAAATTACTTAAATTACAGGTTAATAATAAAACTAGTTTTTACAATCCCAAAAAACATATAATCCCATATGGATTTATATATACAAGTTAACGAACTAGCTTTAATGAAGTAAAACCGATGGTGAAGGCGCACGACACTATAGCTTAACATCTGAATCTAGCTCATAATTTAAATATTCTTTAAAAATTCATAAATAAATAAAGATTATCCTCTGTGTAGCCACACTGATTCACACATTTTTTCTTACCATCGTGGTGCGCTGCTTGCACTTGTCCGTTCCGGCGAAGATGTTCAGCGGTCTTTTGGTTCCAGGAGTGTGCCTCTGAGGACACTGGTCGATGTCCACGCGCCGCAAGTCAATATCGATGCCAGATGTGCCCCTGCGGAAAAACAGAGGAAACGGGAAAAACAGCGTATCAGCAGGAGGCGTTAAAAATTTATGTTATTAATTTGTCAGCTTAACAATCAACTGGGCGGCACTTAAGCCAAATGGCGCCATTTATAAACTGGATTCAATAAGACCTGTGTGTACGGATATTTATGGACATGGTCAGGCAGACCGAGTTGCTATGGCCAGTTCTCGGCGATAACAGACAATAAATTCCGGCCCTGATTGTGCATATGTCTAAGGATCCGAGAAGGCGATTTCGCACAAAGGGATAAACTAACATGCGTGTTTGGTTCCGGCTTCTGACTCCCGGAAAAAATAGCAGAAAATTATTTTCTTGCTGTCGTTGACGGGAATGGGATTGGGAAGGGGTTAGGAATGGGTAAGGAATGGACTGGGAATGGGATGGCAATGGGTTGGCCATGTCGTTTTACAAAGACATAAAGCCATGAAAAGGGTGCACTAAGCTGTCGACCCCTGGCCGCGCCTCTCCGTCAGCTGGTTGAAACCCAATATCCTATATCCTCCGTATATGCCTCCTCAAAGGTCGCCGTCGGCAATGGGCAGCCACCCAATTACACGCATACCTAAGCATCCCGAGAATCCTGGAGATGGACAGCTGGAGGTTCTCGGCCGGAACACATGTAGAAATTTTACGCATAATCCCATCCTCCCTACCCATCCACATTTTCACGCCGGGCTGTGGCCAAACACCCTCGTCCTTGCCACCGACTTTTCTTTTTTTTTTCCATGCGGCAGGGAAAGTTTTCTTGTGGCATGATCCCTTCGGCACTTGCCTTGCTCTTTGTTTGCGAATCCTTTTTGTTATTCCTTTCAAGTTTTTTTTAAACGAATTTTCTTTTAAAGTTTTCAATAAAATAATATTTGATATTCAATATAGTTGGAAAACTGAACTTTGTGTTTGGATGGCTTAACTTTCAGATTTGCCATTGTATTTTATAAGACCTTGATGATGAAAGATTCCAAGAATTCAGTAATATATTCAAAAAAAAAGGAAAAACAAAGTTGTAAATAAAGACAAACCATTATTTTAAAAGTTTTAATTGCAAAAAGAAAAGAAAATGTTGTGTTATCTATACTTTTTAAAAAATTGTATTATGTTTTGACCTTGTTTTTGCATATGTCGCATATTACGGATGATATTTCCTCTGTATAAATAGGTTTGCTCTAAGAAATTAATAGTTCCAAGTGTGAAGAAAAAATAATCTATAAAACACTCAACACCCAAACCCTTTAAATTCAATCTTAAATTGAAAAACATAAGGGAATCCAATTTTTAAGGCAGGAGGCTTTCCCCAGAAGAGTAATTTCCATTTCCTTGGTTCAAAGAGAAACGTTTCCCAAGAACTCTTCGTTTTCTTTTTCAATATCCCTACTCTTTCGATGGGCGGCCATAATGTGTTTGTCCCGGCCATATCCGGTGGCCATTGGATTGGGGAAGGATTCGAATTCCCGGGATCGCAATCCCGGATTCGGGATTCAGCATTCGAGACTCCAGATGCCAGACTCCCGGCTGTCAGTTAATATTGACATATCAGTTTGTATTTATTTGATTGTTTCTGACAACTTATTGATTGCGAAAATTCGGGAAAAGGGACCACTGGGAAATGCACAGCGGCGGGACTGGCTGCACAATGGCCATATAACATTATCGTAATGATTATGTTAATTCCCAGGCAGTTGATCCCAACGCCTTTGTGTCCTGTGTGTCCTGTGTATATCCTGCAACCCGACTGGCCTTTTTTTTCCATATTATTGGGCCAAGTTCGAATGGCTATGTGTGTTATTTCCCATTTCTTATTTGCCTTTGCCATTGCCATTTATTTGCTGTGGTTTCAGTTTCCCTTCTCATGCTTTTGGCCCTTTGTCTGTCTGGCATTGTTGTTGTTGACAGTTTTTGAAGATAATTTGTAAACGGATATTAGAAAATAAGCTGATTGAGCCGACCGAATGAGTTTGTCCTGTTTTGCGAGCCAGCAATACGTGTGTCTCTCATATTGATTTATTAGTTTGCGCCCTAAGCTATTTGCCGATGCCTGCTGATGTGGCAATGTTTGCCTATCTGGCGGACACTTGATTTATATGACAAACGCCTTTTCGGAGAGCTCTGCCTAATGCCTACAAATGAGCCATAATCGAGCTTGATTTTGTGTGTTTTTGGGACTCAAATTGCTAATGGGTCTGGCCTGTTGAATTAAAATTAGTATTGACATTTGTGGCAACTGCTTGACATGATGGGACTTTTCCAATGCTGAACTTTGGCTATTAAAGACTTATGAAGCTTTAAACTTAAATTGTTGCATACATGTGTGTTAATATAGAGTTTTAATTTAATTAAATATTTTTATTGTCATATTCAAGGGTGGAAAATACTGAAAAATATTTTTTAAAATAAATTCAATGAACATATATCATAGACTCGTATTTTAAAATTTTTAAAATCTATTTATTTCTTGTTTAACAATTAAATCCAGATTTTCAGAGATCTTAATCAACCATTTTATTAAACAACATTTTTAAAACATTTTTTTAACACATTAATAAAAGTCTCCCCCTTAATTGGTACCTAATTTAATGGGCTTTGATTAAATCCCGCTTCCTAGTGCAGTTTAAAGCGTGGAAAAACTGAAATCACAGCAATTTTGGCCATGGACCAGGAGATACGGCGGAGTGCAGCTTGCCATTCCGAGCACGTGCAACAAACACGCACTACGTGAATAAGTGAAATGCATCTGAAGAGCTTTTCTTGCCGGGATCCCCACTCCCATATAACACATCCCTTCTCCTAATACCCGCCATACATGCACGTGCCAGCTATTTAAAACTGGCGACAGCACTGTTTTCCCTGGTTGCTCCATTTGTGAGTTCATAAAGATGGTTGTGTTCAGTGCCGCGTAACCAAAATATGGCAGCAACTTTATTGCAGGGAACGTATGTAATAGCATCTACCATCAGAATCACACCCAGCCAAACCAAACCGAACCAAACCCATCCAATCCAACCATCACGCATACCGTTTTGTTGCCAGTTTGTAAACAACTCATCTGCTCTAGCTGCGCCACATTACGTATACGCCATGCGTGCCCAATTTTCGGTCGTGGCAGCTAATGCACATAATCAGGTTTGTAGTTTGCACCTCGCTGGCAAAGTGAGCTGCGGCCTGTTGGCAAAACCAGTGCTGCTAAATGTCTATTTCTAAAACCGCCAGATTTACCAGGAAATGGTAGTACATGAAGGGAGCTTTACCAGAAAAAACAAACACTTTTAAAGCGATTGATACATTTTTTGTATAAATTTTTCCCGATATTGATGAGGAATGTTAGCTTAGCTTGGTAACTGGACAAACACTCGATGTTGTCGAACTAAGGCGAAAAAACAAGCAGAAATACCAACGTTTTTGGCAAAAGTCGTTGTAACTATAATTCTGGGAAAAAATCTATATTTTGTTTGGGAGAATCCGAAAAATTGTCCAAGTATGACGTGTTACACTGCGTTGAGCTCGAAATTAAATTCCCTATCGATTGACAGGCAAACCGGGCAACTCTAATTTTTGACCATATTTTGGAAAAAATAGCGATGTTACCCCTTATCAAAAATGCAAAAATTGGCTTAAGAATTTATTTTTCTAAATTTACCAGGAAGTAATGTGGATAGTTAGCAAATTAAAATTTTGTATAACATATTGTTATTTTTTAAATATAAAACGCAATCCTAAAATATGTTATAGTGTTGTAAAAATCTATTCTGAAAGAAGACAGACTGACAGCTCTGATCAAAGCTCTTAATCTGCCATATTTGCCAGCCAGTCAGGCGGCCTTCATTTGCAAACTAATTTAAAATACGGCCCGATGACAGGACCAAATGGATGTCAAACCTTTTTGGGCGGCCGAGGGGAATGGAAATATGGCTTAAAGCGAGGCCACCTTAAAGCCATAATTTGGGAAATGTGAAATTTAATGAGAAGGAGATGGAGTTTCACCACGTGCATATTCCCAGGTCGCAAACTTGAGATCTCCGAGAATTCCTTAACGGTTTCCAGGAATTCGACGACTACCCACCCAATAAATACCTGGCTTTCTTGGTTAAAATACCTGGCTAAGCCATATGCCAGACCTTAGTTATTCAGTTCCCTGGAATACTGTGTGTGTTGCACATGCAAATCCATAATCAAGCACATATTCAGTTGCTGCTGCTGACTCACAAAGGCTGGCTTATTGCCTGATATTTGAGATTTCCGTTTCCGTTTGCATCATTATGCCGAGTTCCCAAGAAAATGTGGGATGTTGAAAGTGGGCTGGGGCTACAGGCTGAGCCATATTGCAGCATAAGTCAAGTAAATACAATGCGGGGATTACAATCCACATTTACAGCGGCCCCTTGGGGCCTGTTTAATATTGAAACTTTGTCGCTACCCGCAGAGTTGTGAACGCTAAGCGAAACTTAAATGAAATCAAATAAAATTATTGCCCCTGCAGGAGGTCCTGTCGTCCTTGGGCGCTCAGGCCTCTCGTGTCCTTTCGCAGCGGGCGCCTAATGTGATTTGTGCCTTTATCCCCAGCCGTTTGGCCAAATAATTTATAATAAAATTAACTTTAACTTAATGTGGATACTTATTGTTCGGCTTGGCTTGGCCTGAGTTGGCTTTGCCACCAGTGAACCTGCATATTTCATGCAATTAAGAAAAATGAGCCAGCCACACACACCGCATAGCAAATGAAATTAATTAGCAACTTGCCGCCACGCCCCTCGCTTAGTACTCCCACATTTTTTTGTTGTGCTTTCTGCTTCCGCTTCCGCTGCCACCGCAACGTAAACAAATTAATTTTGCCAACTAATGGGAAACTGATAGCAGCACATTATTAACATGAGCCGGACACGGACACGCTCGGAAAAGTGGGATCCTGCCCCCTCTAACCACGACTTCCAGCTTCCAACTTTAGTCATTTTTCCCCGCCGTAAGCCGCTGAAACAAATGAGCTTTGTTTGACGTGGTCCTGCTGCCGGACTGCATCCTATTCCGACCATCCTAACTATTCTCACTGTGCAGCCGGCACGTGGTCCTAACTGGAATGAACTAACGAACTTTTAACATTTCCACATTAATTCAGGCAGGCCGCTACAGTGGGAAAAGGAGTTCCAATATTCAATGAATTTCTTTCTAACAAGGTTTGTTAAAAATATTTTAATAGAAATAATTAAAAAAAGGGTTAATAAATATTTATAAGAAATAAATGTAGTTTAAATTATGAGAAATAATTCAAAACACTAGAACCTAACAATTTGTATAACCTTTTTTTGTATAAACCATTTTATTAGAAATGGACAAACGCTCTAAAAGAGCCACCACTTAATATAAGACTTGTACAACTTTCGTAAAAAATAAATATAGTTTGGTTTATTTAATATAAAGCAAAATACCTACAAATTCATTTAACATGTTTTTTATGACTTTGGAGTTTTTGCATTCAGCAAAACATATTAGGTTCCATGACAGGATTGGAAAATATTTAAATCAATGTAATAAATTATTAGTACTTTGTTTGTCATGCTTACTACAGACATTTTGTAACTTAATAAACAAGAATTTCATATTAATATTGAAGGTGAAGGTTAAAGGTTCCATGATACGATTGAAAAATATTTAACTGAATATAATAAATATTTAGTACCTTGTTTGGTATGTTTACTACAGGCATTTTGTAATTGAATGAAAACGAAGAACATATTTAAATTAAAGGTGAATTAAAGGTATGTATATTTAAATGAATATAATAAATATTTAGTAACTTGTTTGTCATATTCACTATAGGCACTTGTTATTTTTATAAAAAAATAATTTTATACTAAAATTAAGGGTAAAATGGTTTTTTTCGAGTGTCTAAAATCTGTAGAGGTACTAAGGTATTAGCTGAAATCTCTACGCCGACAATTGCCACATTTCCGCTTTTCCCACGGTGCCTCTTGGCGGGCAAAATTTATGTTGCAACTAATTGCAGGCAGTTGCTGGGCTTCCGCCAGCGGCAGACAGTTTCCTTTTCCACTCTGTGTGGGTATATGGAGGTCCTGTCCTCAAGAGCACAATTTCCGAACTCCTGACCCCTGACCCTGTGAATTTTCCCACTGACTGCGTGTGAAATTTATTGAGCGTGGAAAGTCATCGAACGTTAAGTAGGCATGTGTGTGAGGAGGTGCGAATGGGCCCAACTTTATAATTGATTGCTTTAATTAAATTTTGAAAACGCTGCTGCCAGCCCACCTGCCAGCGGAAATAGCTCTGAATCCCATCAGCATCGCATCCCTTGCTGCTGTGTGTAATTAAATTTTAAACGCTTACTTAGGCCAAAGCGAAATGCTTGCAATAATTACGGAAGCCATTAGGCAAGCTCTCGCGAAAAGCGGAAAACGGGTTGAAAAATTTCCAAACAGATATGGTCTTGCCCCGGCTGCAGTTGGTTCTACTTATCCTTGGCCTGAAAGCCATGTGGGGCTCTTTGCTGCAAATCGATTGGCCAAAACGACAGTTGGACTGGTGGCAGAAACAGTACTATCAATCATCATGTGAGTTTACCACCCATTTTTATAATAAATGTTTTCTTTTAATTATATATCAACCAATAATCTTGGAAATAATGTAGAATAATTCCTCAAAAATACTTCAATAATTGCCACATAAGATAAATATTCTTAAAATACCTTGTTTTATAATAACACGTTCTGGAAAATTGGCTATGTGCCACTTATAATTTAATTACATTAAAATCAGATTTCTGTATTCATTTCGTTAATATTCAAAGCCTCATGTTTATCTGTCAATCAGGCTAGTCCACTGGCATATTGATTAAATTTAAATAATTTGAAAAGCCATTCGTAGGCATACATTAAAATCTATCATTGATTGAAAAGCCAAACCGCAGGATTATCATACGTTTATACAAATCCAAATCACTGTGACCTGCCTGAATATCAAATTAATATTGGGCTTTAATTTACAGGGAAACAAAGGCTGCGGTTTACGACTACCCCGAAGCCAGGAGCCACTCCCGAATCTGTTGAAACCAGATTGGTGTACCCATGCTACTGCTACAAACCATCCCTCGAGGGTTTGGCCACTGCCAGTCCAGTGGAGAGGAGAATGATTGAGCCCAAGGAGCTGTTCTACTTAAATAAATAGTATTTATGGTACACTAAAATTACATATTACAGCTTTAGTTTCCTTGGTAATTTAATTACTTTGACAATTTGGAAGGGAATTTTAAGCTCTCTTCTATTAAAGTAAAAATCCTTTAAATCGAATCATTCAAATATCTTTAAATTGAACCAAGCATCTAAATAGATATAGGTCTTAAATTTTTTATAAGCAGAAATTTATTTACAGCTTTTCAATCAATTTTAGTATCAGTGTAATATTGCTGATATAAACAAAGATGTTAAACCAAAAACCCAGAGGTAGTTGGCCTATTCTGTTTGTTTGATTTGCAATTTTCCGAGACCAGTAAATCTACCCCAATCTAGGGCTTTAAATCATTGCCATAGAACAGCAGCTCATTGTTCTCTGATGATTTTTAAGACAACAAGCAGATAAACCTCACGCAGCCATCCCGTCTATCCAAGCAGTCAGAAGCAATTTCAGCTGGTCGAAAAACAAAAGCCACGTAATCCTGGCCACTCCCCACCGACACTAACTTGGCCACTAAGTGAAAATAGTTTGCTGGCCAAAATGTGCTTTTGCTTCTGCTTTTGCTTTCGCCTTGGCAATCTGCTGTCTGTTTTGCTGCTGCTGTTGTCTGCTTCCATCCAGAGTGATAATTGCAAATTATGGATGAAGTAGACTGGAAGTGCAGATGGCAGCGATGACTGACTGCCACGCCCCCCAGCCCACTTTTCCCAGTCGGTGTTTTGTCATAAATATCAAAGGGGTTTTCAGCCAGCAACTGTCATTAGGCTGATGGCTTACAAGTTATAAAAGCATTTATATTTATATAACTTTAATTCCTGGAAAAATTTGCCATTCCCCTTGGCAAATGCCTGCGTTTATTATTGTCTTTATTCTCGGAAATCAGCTCTCTAAATGCTTGTTGGGCTTAGTTCCTGGAAATATCTGAAGTAAAGTACATACCTTTACATTAGCTGGAATTTCTTTGTAGTTTGGTATTTCAACCTATAAGTAGTTGATTTCAAGCCCTTTTTAATAAAAAAAATATTTTTGTTTTTGAAGTTTTAAACAACTATACTTAAATTTATTGATCTGGGTCAATAGCAATGAAATGCTCATCAAAAAACACAACTGGTTCATCGCTTTCTTTTAAGGCTTCCTGCCAACTTGGGAGCAACGCTCAATTGAAAAAGTTCCCAAAAGAGCCAGAAAACATACAAAACTATTTAAAAAGAAAAAGAAGGAGGGAAAATGGAAATTATTTAAACTAAGAAAGAAGCCCAGATAGAAATGGGAAATGAAGATGAAAAGATGGCACGTTATAAAGTTTCATAAGATGCTGTGCTCTTTTTAAAGTACTCAGTTTTTAGGGCGGTGCGTGAGCGGAATTTCGATGGCAGTCGATGTTTGGAAAAGCACTAAAACTTAAACTCCGTTGGTGGCACATTGCACGTGCCACACTAGACCAGAAAACCCAAAAATGCTGCCCAAGAGCAGCAGCCATTCAGCTATTCAATTACTTTGCCCGTTTCTAGACAAAAGCCAAAAACTGGCACTCGCTCAGTTTTCCCACTTTTCCGGCTTTTCCATCCTGCTGTCGCTGGCAGCAGCGGGTGCTGGCTGGAAAAACTGCTGTGCTGGCACTTAGCGCACCATTGCAGTTTTCTTTCAAATTTCCCATGCTGCGAATTATTTATAAAATGCTCATCTGGTGGCATCCGTCATGTGCACGTACCTAAGCATATACTTGTCATTGTAAACCATGCACAGAAAGAAAATAACCACCCAGTCCGATCAATAGGGGTAAATAAATAATTAAGTTATGGTCATGTTTAAAAAAAATTTTAAATATTATTCCTAATCGTCTTAGAAACCACTCAACCAAGGGTGCCACAGAAATCACTAGAATTATTAAATTTAGGTGTCTAAAAGTATGCAACAATATATTTTAAATAAAGGCATAAATGATTCTATTGCGAAAGAAAATGTTCTTTCTTATAGCATACTTTTAAACACCTTTATGAATTATTTGAAATCACTAAGATTTTGTAATGTAGAAGCACATTATATTTTATTTTATGAATTTGTCGCGAAAGAATATGTTCCCTTTTCATAGCATACATTTAGACACCTTAATAATTTTATTTAAAGTCAGTGATCAAGAAATATACGTTTTTCTTTACGGTTTTATAAATGAATTGCTAATTATTTGTACATATTCTATGTTAGTTTTCCAACTCTCGCTATGTATATTCCCCAGAAATAAGTATGGATTCTTTGGTATACTCACTTGAAGTGATAGGTTCCGTTCTCGTAGCCAAAGAACGGCACCGTGTAGGTTAGCATCCAAATGTTGCCCCCGCCGCAGTCGTAATAGGGTTTTGACCATCTGCCATCCTCATATTTCACAGCCAGCGTGTCGTCCTCGATTCGCTCCTCCGTGCGGTTCGAGTAGAGATGAAAGGCTGCAAGGCAACAGAATGGTTTCAATAGCGTTATCCATTATGCAAACTGTAATTAGAGGACCCAGAAATCGATAAGCCTTTCACGGCAGTCAGCAGCTCGGTGATCAGCGAGCAATTCAGTGCACCCCATGGCGTACACGGCGAGAAATGTTCCACTTCATTTGACTTTTTAATTTGGTTAACATTTTTAGGAGCTTTTAGGATTTTGTATAGTTGCTGAGACATAAGATAAGATATATAATTTTATTTGATACCCATTTTCTTGAGATACGGATTTACCTTCAATTTCTATAGGTGAGTAATTTCTACTAATAGGGTTAATATATATTTTAAATTAACATTTTCTGCTAAGAGCATTTAAATAAAATTTATTTACTAAATAGGAGTCAAATTTGATATTGAGAGTCCATGTGAAGGAAAAACTTATCTAACCAGTTATATTTCCTAAGTGCTTCACCTTGATTATTTGCATTGCCTAAGCCATTCCTGCGACTAATGACTTTATAAATGCAAACACGTGGCCTTGGATGACTCGGGGGATTCTCTGATGAATAAAACAAAAATGACAGGACATTAAAAGCAAATCAGGAAGTCCAATTGCTTCATATAAAACCCCTTTGGGGGAATCTCTTCTTTATAAGTTTTAGGTCGAACTTATTAAGATGAAGAAGCCGCTCTTTGAACGCCTGCGAACTGCACCACTTGATAACCATAGCATCAGTTCCTTGGTGGCCAGTGATTACTTCTATCGCGTTGCATTCTACTTGGGCTGGAAGCCTCCCAGGGAGGGTTTCTTCAGACGGATATACTTTTTATGGACTTTTACCACGATGTTGCTGGGGGTTGTATGTCTACCGCTGGGTCTAACGCTCACCTATGTGAAGGACTTTAGTAAGTTTACGCCGATTGAGTTTCTGAGCTCCCTGCCGGTGGACGTCAACTGTATTGGAAATTTGATCAAGACTTGTGTGACCTTCACATCGATGTGGCGATTTCGCTTGATGAATGAACTGATTTCCCCTTTGGATAAGAGATGTGTTAGCCCATCGCAGCGTCAGATTCTCCATAAATCGGTGGCTCGGGTTAATCTGATTGTGCTTGTGATCTTGTCTACTTACTTGGTTTTCGGTTTCCTAAACTTTGTAACATCGGTTTTTTCGGGGACGGCACCTTGGCAATTGTACAATCCACTTGTGGACTGGCGGAGTGGCTATTGGCAACTCTGGATTGCCTCGCTTATGGAATACTTTGTGATCTGTATAGGAGCCTCGCAGGAATTGCTTTCGGATGCCTTCCCCATAGTTTTCATCTCCTTGTTCCGATGTCATCTGGCTATTCTGAGGGATCGCATAGAGAATCTGCGACAGAATCCGGAGCTCAGTGAGAAGGAGAACTACGAACAGTTGGTGGCCTGCATCCAGGATCATCGCACCATCATTCAGTAGGATGTTGTGGCTTATTATATTGGTATTTTATTTAAAGATTTATATATTTTAGATGTACCGAAATCATTCGTCCCATCCTGTCGATCACCATCTTTGCCCAATTCATGCTGGTGGGCATTGACTTGGGATTGGCTGCCATAAGCATCCTGTTATTTGAGAATACCATCTGGACGATCGTGGCGAGTGTCTCATTTATCATGGCCATCTGTATGGAGTCCTTTCCTTGCTGCATGCTATGCGAACATCTCATCGAGGATTGTGACCAAGTCAGCGAAGCATTATTCTACTCCAATTGGCTAAATGCAGATAGGCGTTATAAGTCGGCGCTTCTGTATTTTATGCACAGGGTTCAGCAACCCATTCAATTTACAGCTGGAGCCATATTTCCTATTTCGGTGCAGAGTAATATTGCAGTGGCCAAATTCGCCTTTACTATTATTACAATCGTCAAACAAATGAATCTCGGAGAGAAGTTTCTAAATAACAGGGCAAATGCAGGGGAAGTAGAGCCTTAAAGTGCAGTGCAAAAAGGGGAGATCTAAAACTAATATTTGCATCCCGACACTTGCACTCTGTAGTATCTGTAGTATCCTAGTCGTCAGTGCTTGCACATGCACTAAACTTTCTAGAAGTGAGTACACACTTGAAGATTTCAAGTATCTTTAAGGCCATGTAGTGAAAGGAAGGCCAGATAAAACGGGTCAGGTATTGAGTCAAATATATGCTACATTTCTTTTAAAAGAATTCCAATAGTTAGTAAAAGAGACATACATAAATTTTATTTTCTGATTTTTTAAAATTCCTTGTCAAATTATAATTTTTTACATTTACATATATCATTTGTCTCAAAAATTATTCTTAAAATAATTCCTCAAGCCTTTTGCCCTAGAAAATAGTCATTTCCACCTCTTTAAAATTAAACTGACAACCCTTGATTGATTTATTAACCAATGCCCCGCAACAGTTAACTATTAAGCTGGCTAATTGGCAGTTGACAGGTCTGCTTGCACCTCAATAATAAATCCCCCTTAGCACTTGTAACAGGCTGGCTATTATATATTGTTACAGGCTTACTATTATATATGCAATACATTAGTTCTAAGTATTATATTATTATACTCAATGTTATATGAACAGGGCAGAATATTTTAATCTGCTCTGGTCACACTAAACGGGTGTTGAAAAGAGAGTTGCCTGCGAGCAACGAGTGAGTTCTAACCGAGAGTGCAAATAAAGAAGACGTGAAACGAGAAAATTAGTGCGAACTTAATCCTGATACAATCTCAGAAGTGGGGTAACAAAAAAAAACTATTATAACTTACAGGCAGAACTTTAACAAACAGGAAAATGGATATGCAAATTAGTGACTTGTCTGTCTGGAACTCCTTAATTTGCCGACAACTGAACTTTTTTCGGAAGTTAGCCGTGTTCCGCCGCAAAATCGGGGATTCGTCCCGCAAGTCGATCAGGAAGTCGGAGAAATTGTGGACACGGTGACTACAGACTCGGAGGACGAAAATATCGAGTCAAAAGGTCCGATAGAGCCGAATTGTGGCTTAGAAACCATGGACAAGTTGCGCTTGGAAATCGAGAAGGCCCAGAAATTTCTAGAATTTCTGCACAAGCAAGTCGACAGCGTTAGTTCTGCCAGTGGCGCCAAAAGCCACAATTCGCAGAATTTTACGAAGTCGGACGTCGGCGTAAGCAAGGGTTCTGAGAGTTCCGAGAACGGGCCAGAACGAGATGGCAAGGCAAGCAGCGGTTCCGAGAATTCCGAGAACGGGCAAGAACGAGATGGCATGACAACCAACAGTTCGGAGAATTCCGAGAACAGGCGAGAGCGAGTTGGCGAGCGAAGCAGCGGTTCTACGAACATAGTACAAGGAAAGTTCGAGAACTTGCAACAGTGGCAGAGATGCGCATCTCGAACTTCTGACGAAATCGTGACACAGCGCCCCATGGGAAGGGCTGAGTTTTCGTCAGCTGGATTTAATCTAGCCAAGGAAATTTTGATGGACTTTGCCGAGAAGATTCCTGTACGATCCTGGATCTCCCAATGGGACATCATATCCACGTTGTATGACCTATCGGACACCCAGCGAAGAGTGTTGCTGATCAGCAAACTAAAAGGCAGCGCTTTGGAGTGGATGCATGCGGATCCTTCTCGTTTTGTTAAACCAACGAGTGAGTTGCAGCAGCAATTACAACTAGGAAAATAGTGAGCACAAATGGTTTGAAATGAGGAATGGTGTTATATATGTACAGGAAAAGTAATAACAAGAGGATATTATTTTATGTGCCGAATCGGATGGAGGATCATGTTTTATATAAGTATCATGACGAAGGGACATGGGAAGGGACAAAATGATAGAAGCAATTGGCAAAAGCTACTGGTTTCCAAACATGAAGAGTAAAGTTTCTGATCATGTTAAAAATTGCTTAAAGTGTGTAGCATATTTTCCAAAGGTAGGCAAAGGTGATGGATACTTGCACAGTATCCCAAAGGGCAATAAGCCTTTCGAAATCATTCACATAGATCATTATGGCCCTGTGGATAATAGTAGATCGAAGAAGCACATATTAGCTGTTGTAGATGCGTTCACAAAATATGTTAGGCTGTATAGGACCAAAATAACAGATACGAAAGAGGCAGTAAATGCATTGACAGATTACTTTCGCGGAAGCTGCTTTACTTCGACAGATCTTGCTAAATTTATGGAGGAAAATAACATAAAGCATATTAAAATTGCAACGCGATCGCCACTGTTGAGCGAATCAACGGAAGCCTATAATAGCGAAGTTAGTGGAACCAGAGAATGTTTTACATTGGGATAATGTCATTGAAAAAGAAGAGTATTCTATGAATAATAAAATTCACAACAGTATTAAGCAACGACCTAGTGAAACGCTGTTTGGCATAACTCAAAGGGGGAAGTTTGTGATGAGTTGTGGGAAAGATTAGAGGAGAGCAGTTAAGAAATAATGGTTTGGAAAGCGTTAGAAGATATTAGAAAAGAAGCTGAAGAAACACAAGCACATTTGCAGAGTAAAAATTATGCATACTACAATGCGAGAAGAAAAAACGCAACCGAGTTAAGAGAAGGTGATTTTGTCATGGTTAAGAACTTTGATAGTACGGTGGGTGTAGCGTGAAAACTTATTCCAAAGAACAAGGGACCTTATGTAATTGAGAAGATTTTGAAAAGTGACAGATATTTGATCAAAGATATTGATGGGTTTCAGTTATCTCGAAACCCATATCAGGGTGTTTAGAGAGTTAATAACATTCGACCCTCGACCCTAGTATAAAATAATAATGAATTGTATACATATGCATATGAACTAAATTGTAAGCAATAGATAACAAAATGTGTAAATTGTAAAAAGTGAATTATAAAATATCAGAGATAGTGGGATATCTCAATGTTCGAGTAGAGATGAAAGGCTGCAAGGCAACAGAATGGTTTCAATAGCGTTATCCATTATGCAAGCTGTAATTAGAGGACCCAGAAATCGATAAGCAGTCAGCAGCTGGGTGATTCAGCGAGCAATTCAGTGCACCCCATGGGGTACACGGCGAGAAATGTTCCACTTAATTTGACTTTATAATTTGGTTTACATTTTTAGGAGTGTTCGGGTCTTATTGAGGAACTTATAGGAAGATAAGAAATGTATTCATATTTTATATAAATTTTACTTTGAGATATGGAATAACCCACATTTTCATTAGGTGGTAATATGTACTCATAGGGTTAATATATAGATAAAGTGAAAATATTCCGTTAAAAACATTTCAATTTCATTTACTAACTAAATAGGAGTACAACTGGATATTGGGAGTCCCAGTAAAAAGGAAAACTTATCTAACTAGTTATATTTCCTAAGTGCTTCAACTTGATTAATTTGCATTGCCTAAGCCATTCCTGCGACTAATGACTTTATAAATGCAAACACGCGGCCTTGGATGACTCGGGGGATTCTCTGATGAATAAAACAAAAATGACAAGACATTAAAAGCAAATCAGGAAGTCCAATTTCTTCATATAAAACTCTTTGGGGGAATCTCTTCCTTATAAGTTTTACATCGAACTTAGTGAGATGAAGAAGCCGCTCTTTGAACGTCTGCGAACTGCACCACTTGATAACCATAGCATCAGTTCTTTGGTTGCCAGTGATTACTTTTATCGCATTGCATTCTTCATGGGTTGGAATCCTCCCACGGAAGGTTTCTTCAGACGGATATACTTCTTATTGACTTTTACCACGATGTTGCTGGGGATTGTATGTCTACCGCTGGGTCTAACGCTCACCTATGTGAAGCACTTTAGTAGGTTTACGCCGACTGAGTTTCTGAGCTCCCTGCCAGTGGACGTCAACTGTATTGGAAATTTGATCAAGACTTGTGTGACCTTCACGTCGATGTGGCGATTTCGCTTGATGAATGAACTGATTTCCCCTTTGGATAAGAGATGTGTTAGCCCATCGCAGCGTCAGATTCTCCATAAATCGGTGGCTCGGGTTAATCTAATTGTGATTGTGTTTCTGTCTACTTACCTGGTTTTCTGTTTCCTAAACCTTTTTACATCGGTTCTTTCGGGCACGGCACCTTGGCAATTGTACAATCCTCTTGTGGATTGGCGGAGTGGCTATTGGCAACTCTGGATTGCCTCGCTTATGGAATACGTTGTGGTCTCTATAGGCACTTTGCAGGAATTGATTTCGGACGCCTATCCCATTGTCTTCATCTCCTTATTCCGATGTCATCTGGCTATTCTGAGGGATCGCATAGAGAATCTGCGACAGAATCCGGAGCTCAGTGAGAAGGAGAACTACGAACAGTTGGTGGCCTGCATCCAGGATCATCGCACCATCATTCAGTAGGATGTTGTGGCTTATTATATTGGTATTTTATTTAAAGATTTATATATTTTAGATGTAGCGAAATCATTCGTCCCATCCTGTCCATCACCATCTTTGCACAATTCATGCTGGTGGGCATCGACTTGGGATTGGCTGCCATAAGCATCCTGCTATTTGAGAATACCATCTGGACGGTCGTGGCGAGTGTCTCATTTATCATGGCCATCTGCATGGAATCCTTTCCTTGCTGCATGCTATGCGAACATCTCATCGAGGATTGTGTCCAAGTCAGCGATGCATTGTTCCACTCCAATTGGTTAACTGCAGATAGGCGTTATAAGTCGGCGCTTCTGTATTTTATGCACAGGGTTCAGAAACCCATTCAATTTACAGCTGGAGCCATATTTCCCATATCTGTGCAGAGTAATATTGCAGTGGCCAAATTCGCCTTTACTATTATCACAATCGTCAAACAAATGAATCTCGGAGAGAAGTTTCTAAATAACAGGGCAAATGCAGGGGAAGTAGAGCCCTAAAGTGCAGTGCAAAGAGGGGAGATCTAATACTAATATTTGCATCCCGACACTTGCACTCTGTAGTATCTGTAGTATCCTAGCCGTCAGTGCTTGCACATGCACTAAACTTTCTAGAAGTGAGTACACACTTGAAGACTTCAAGTATCTTTAAGTCCATGTAGTGATAGGAAGGCCAGAGAAGAGGGGTCACGTATTAAGTCAAATATATGTTAAAACTCCTTTTAAAAGTAGTGCAATAGTTAGTAAAGGGGACCTAAATTTTATTTTCTGATTTTTTAAAATAACTTGTCAAATTTAACATTTGCATATGTGAATTGTCTCAAAAATTATTCTTAAAATAATTCTTCAAACCATTTGCCCTAGAAAATAGTTACTTCCACCCCTTTAAAATTCAACTGTCAACCCTTGATTGATTTATTAACCAATAACCCCCAACAATTAACTATTAAGCTGGCTAATTGGCAGTTGACAGGCCTGCTTGCACCTCAATAATAAATCCCCCTTAGCACTTAACACCTGACCACTGGTGGTTAAGTCTAATTACAGGCTGCAAAACGAATGGGCGTGGTTTTGCCAGGGAATCGGGGCACCTGGTCAATTATCGATGGGCGTGGGTGAGAGTATAAAATGCAGGTGCAGGAGCTGAACTTGTTAGTATCCAGTCATCATGGTGTTGTTCCGGCTGATTAACCCGGCTCCGTTGACGGAGAAAGTGCAGTCCCGCCAGGGGAACATATATCTTTATAGGGCCATGTGGTTAATTGGTTGGATTCCGCCGAAGGAGGGAGTCCTGCGATACGTCTACCTCTTCTGGACTTGTGTGCCCTTTGCTTTTGGAGTGTTTTACCT